ACAAATAACAAACCTTATTTTTTAACTTACCTTTTTAATTCAGGTTCCAATGTCCGATTTGGGCATATAAACAAATGTCTAAATCTGGAAAGTGGTGAAACCGCAGCCAAAAATAGATGCGGTCTTCCACTGCCATTCTTTTCGCCGGGGACTGTATATAATATTGCAAAAATTATGTTAAATGATCTAAATAATAGTGAATTTTTTGAATTCAAATGTGATCATATTGAATTCCTTAACCATCTTATGCAAATTTAACAAAGATCTTATAAAATAAAATTATTAACAAGAGTTTTGATAGTAAAAGGATATATTTGAAAAACAAAACTATAATATTCATTACTATCTTTAAAGGTACAGTTAGCAGTTATATATAAATAATCAGGATTTAGAAAATTTATAAAGAAATAGACTAATCAAAAAATGGTTAAATTGATGTCTAATATTTATGATGATGAAATTTGAAAAAATTTCTCATCTAATATTCTGAACTTTTCTAAATTCTTTATTGCCAAAACTGCAGATTTTAATCTCTTAATAATGATTAACTTAGATTAGTTCTAACTATTCCAATCATCTATATATAGCTGTGAAGTAATTTATAGTATAATTTGTAATTTACCTCATGATATAAGATTAAAAAAAATATGCTTACTTTAGGTTTATTACCAGGACCTAATAAAGTATCATTATATTGAATTAATAATTATTTGCAATTAATAGTTAATAAATTACTAGAAATGTGAAATAGTTGCAATTTACTAACAACTTTGAAGAAAATAAGATTGGCTATAATCTACTGCAGTAATGTCATATCTGCAATAAGAAAATTATGTGGCCATATATCTGCATTGGTTGGATGTCACAGATATTACAAAAAGGTCAGTGAAGAAGAGGATCAAAGGTTAAATTTTGGCAGCTTTAATGATATGTCTAACTAGTTCAAAATAAAGGATCCAGAAGAATATCGAACCAATGCAATTATCTGAAAATACTAGTGAACTAAGGATGATCAGAAAAAGAATGTTAGTAGAATTCTTATTCACTAGTCTGAATTATTCTATTTGTCATACCACAATCTGATCAAGCATTTAATTGTAGATCTGATACATTATTTATTTTTAGAAATAATTCACTGGATTGTTAAAAGGTTATAGATCAGTAAGAGAAAATTTACTAAATCTGACCTCAAACTGATAGAAATTCATGCAAAGATAAGCAAACTATCTATTGATTTAGACTGCATTTTATGTAAGATTTCTATTAGAGAAGGTTTTTCTAGCTTTATGACTGACTAATAAAAATTATTTATTATGATTTATATCACTCTGATTATGTAAGATCTTTTAGATAATGATTTTAACTAGAAAATTTTGACCAATTTTATCAGGATGTATTATCTGTTAATATCTAGAATTATCAATAAAGATAAATTAAATGAAGCACACAATCAATTATTAAAAGTTGTTCACTTAATTGAAGACAATTATGGACTAAAAGTAATATCTCTAAATATCCACTTGTCTCTTCACATTTTAGAATATTACCAAAAGTTACTTGTTGGTTTGTTTAACATTTCTCTGTTAACTTTTTGTAGTAACTTAAGAAGCTGATGAAAGAAGTTTTTCATATTATTCCTTTTTTCACATAATGGAAGGTTTTGCTATTAAAATTAAGTTACGATCATGGTAAATCATATGATCTGTAACATGGTTTTAATAGCAAATGTGATAAATGGATGGATTTGCCTAATTAAGGAAATATCAAGTTAGTTTTACATATAGAAAGTTAATGTACTGTATATTAGTACCGAAATATTAGCTATTGAAATTGAAAATACAAACGATGTTAAACTTATTTTATTAAATTTTGTGAATTTTAAAAATGCTTTCGAATTAAATGCAAAAAAAATAATCAATTGAAATCGATTGTTACACATGATTGCTATTATCTTTTATTGCTTGCTATATGTAGTTACTTGTTTTATGTAATCTGTTAAATTTGACACAATGACTTATCACATATCGGTACTTGTGATTCAAAATCAAAGATCTCAGAAAAGTTCTGCAAAAACTTAGCTAACAAAATTTTCCACAAGGTATTTCTATATAGAAAGGACATGAAATGTCAATAAATTACAAAAAGCTGATAGCAATAGGAAGAATTATATGGATGGGATATTGGCTTAGTTTGCGAATTCTCTTTCCTTTAAAACATGCATATATATCACTCATTTCATTTTTACGTGAATGCATTGTGATATTCTAATGTTTCAAAAAACGGATTTATTAGGAATTAAACTACATTCATAGCGCTATTTTGTGTAGTGAAAAGAAATTTATGCAATAGTGAAATTTTATATAAGGTGGATATTTCGCCACAATAAGAAACTTTAGTTAGACCTAGGGAATTTCTAAACCTTTAGAATTTTTTCATAAGTCCTGCTCTACTGCTATTTTTTAACTGAAAAAAAGTTATGTCTAACAACTTTACAAATCTCTTTGATACTTTTGATACTTTTACAAGTCCTTCTATTCCTGTTAATCTGATAGTTAGAAAAATTGAAAAGTTAAGTTATAATAAATTAGACCTTGAATTCAAAGACATCAATATAATACATGATATTAAAAGTAATACCTTTTTTAAATTAACCAGAGTAGAAATTTGTGGTGAAAACATAGGTTTGTAATAAATTTAGCTAATGCAATATGATTTTTTGATAACTGTTATTTCATTATAAATTTATATTGTTATAATATGACTTATGTGAAAAATTCTTTTTCTTTTTCTCTATAAATTAGTGAACATTGATTGGCCTTATACACTTGTTTATCGATAACTCAAATGTTTTTTATCAAGGGAAAAACTTATTTGGTGATGATTACAGGATGATTTATCCAAAACTACTTTTGCGAATCCTTAATACACAGAATATTGACGAATATCCAATTATTGTTGGATCTTGTTTACTACCTATCTTAGAAAAAGATTTAGATAAAGCAATCTATTGGTATAAGAAGGCTGCCAGAAATAGGTGTGAAGAAGTTCAGGAAAATCTGGATCTCTTATTGATTCAATCTTCCAAATAAGATTTTTTTTTTAATGATCAATTTATTTTTGCAAATATTTAAATATTTAGTATTTTTTTATAATTTTAAATTTAATTTACAAATCTACTGTAAAATAGACTTTTCATATATAGATAAACAGAATAATATTTCATTCTTTAATTGGTTTATTATAAATATATTACACACCGATATGTGTATAATTTCTTTTTTTAATTTCTCTTATGTTTCACAGGACTTAAAAATTCTTAATGTTATTGCAAATAAACTTTTAAAAAGCTTAACCTTTCGTAAAATATTTAAGTTTTTTTTTCTATTTAATATTCGTTACTGCCACTCAGGCTTCTTCTATCGTTAGTGTTTCTTGTATACACTTTGTCATTGGCACAGTAATAGTAAAATAACAGTATTTTGTTCACCAGGTGGTGTGCGATTTTATGATGTCTTAAACATTGTGAATTTCACCACTACCACTACTTCTACTGCTACTAAAAAAGGGTTCCTCTATGCATAGGTCTCTAGTGTCAAGTAAAAAGAGGATCTTGAGTGGCAGAAGTAACTCCTCTGCTTTTGGTTCCCAACCTATGAACTCAGCTCAGGTGTTAACTTCAAATGACTGGAACTTAAGACCTTATTGGAACGGACAAGTCACAAAATGGTCTCAGAAATTGTGATTATCCATTATGACTGATTCTGTCACTTCGTCTTTGACCTCATCCAGTACATACTCTCTCTCTATATTATAAAATTCGTGGTTCTTTTCAACGATGCGACCTCTGAAAAATACGAACTTTTCTAAGATATCCTTACAATCAACACAGTGTTTATTTGTTGAATACAAGAAAGAAAAACTGCTATTCACTGACTAGAATGCCAGGTTAGGAAAAAAGCGTAAGATAAAGATCAGGATAACATTAGCGTGTACCGTATAGCACTGACATTAGTACCCCCTTTGCAAAATATCCCCTTGAATAGTAACAGATACTATTCAATCACCAAAAATAAAATTTTGATTAATACCAGGATACTAATAAATTAATCAATTAAATTGATAAACATATCGATCAAATTTACAGCAACGATGCCGATCAAATTTATCATAACGATATCGATCAATTTGATCGATTGTAATATATTAAACATAAAAATCAAAATTTATTATTATATTTTATACTTTATCAATAT